TCTTTTAGATTAGCGCCGGGTCGTTTGGGAAGCTGGCAACCACGGTTTGGTCGTCGTGGTTGTGTTGGCAGGGGCTGGGTTCACGGCTAAGGCAGTCGCCAGTGATAGGTAGGTATTGTAACTTTTTGGGAAGGCATACCTAGCTTTTCCCTCATGTTAATCATTCTTGCTCCTTTCGACTCTCTATCTGTCTTTTCACCACAGTCTTTCATTCGTAATACCTACACCTCACAGATTTATGTCTTCCCGTATGTTCTGTTGTTAGATACTTTTGCCAAGCTCAAGATCGCAGCGGGACGTGTACGGACAGACAGAGAGGCAGGAGCACCGAATGTCTCGAGGGCCGCAGGGCAGGTGCAGATGCAGCAGCAGCTGCTGCATGGGGTGGAGCTTTGGCCTGAGTGGGGCGATCCCAAGCTCGGGCTCTCGCCTGTGCCACATCCCCACCCGAATGCACCCAAGTGCAACCGACAGGGCGGGATCAATCCCCGGGCCATATGCTCCAGGCCTTATCCCAGTCACGTCCTGTGAGAGACTCGGAGACAGAGAGCTTCTTCCCAGTGGTCCAATTTTCCACTGTCATTTTGGGCAGTTCCGCATCGATTCCTCTTGCTGCATCGAAATAATGTCAATACACTCGCAGCTACGCAATAATTATCGAAACAAGTGGTAACTGGGACGACGCGCTAATACGACTACTTACTCTCAGCACACAACTAATTCATAGTAACATAGTACATATTCGGGTGTCCCATATGTTCGTAAGCTGTTCGGAGTGGGTTTCGCGCAAAGAAGGTGCTTTATGTACAGAGGGAGGCGGGAGCGTCCCTCCACGAAACTCCGTCCTTTCCCTAAAAACCTATGATTCCATGCACCCTGATCCTTCCTGTCTTCCCCTTGCCTACATTCGCCATTACGGCAAGAGACATTGTGTAAGTATTTACACAGTATACTTTCTTTTCCTTCCTGTCTTTTGCGAGGATTGTTTACAAGCGGGTAGTAAACGAGCAACCGCGTTGGCGGACAGGAAGAGAAGGCCGGAGGGTGGGTGCAAATTCTTACACGGGAATTTGGTAGGAGAGAACTACCTGCACTTCGTACCTTGTACACGAGAAGAGAATCGACAGGCGGGAGGCCGGGGGGATTCGAGGTGGCCTGCTGCAACCATCACTGACTAACAACGACAACCTTGACAACCACACAACCACACAACCACATCGACCGGCTTCATTTCGTCCCTCGATTTGTGCAATCTCTACCTGCAGATGTGCTGTTCCCCTCCGTGAGATACCTGCGTTCGCTGTGGTGGGTGGCGGGCCCAGAGTTATCGCTCGGGCGGAACCTTTGGGGTGCCAGTCGTACCAGCATCCCCAACTCGTCAAACTCTCTTGTCATGCTAAAGTCTAAAGACGCTTAGCAATGCTGCAGCCCGCTGCTGGCCATGTCCGACTGCATAGTGTCTTATTCGAGACATTGGATGTTGCCCATCGGCTGCATTTCTGTCCGGTATCTCTTAGGTCCATCCCAAGAGTTGGATCCCAACTATCTCTTGGGTGTCTTGACACGCCTCAGCCAATCCCATGTGAGTGATTCATTTACTTCGAATGGCTCGCTCGCTACGGATGCCCGAGTCCTATACGGCTACACTCTGACATATCACAGTTGTAGACCTGACATCGTTCTAATATGCGTGGGCGATTGCACCATGCCATACGGTGTAGCGCCTCTATGGCAAACTCCATTCCGCAAACATGCGTGAGCTTAAGACAAGAGAGGCAGGGACCGGTCAATGTTCCACGAGCCCTGCGGTGCTTTGCTCTGCATCCATGCATGTATCCTACGGAGCACATTGCTTCGAGACACGGCACACCCACAACTTTGAACATTTCGCTACCCCGCTGACAGGCCGCGTACTTCAACCCTTGACCTGAACAAATCTGTACGGAGCGGTTGGCGACGGAAAATTTGCCAGGAGTACACTCCGAGGCCTCACCGCCAATAAGCCCAATGCAGTTGAGACAAAACAGCTTCGCTACGAGGTGATAGCTTGCTGGACCTGTATCAGTACGACCATAGCGATCTCGAAACTACTCCCTCCTCGAGTCGTCCCAGTCGATTTTCCTCCCAATCTAATGGAGAGGTCGCTACCACTGGCCTTCTCAGCAAGATGCAGCTGGCATGTCATGGAACCTAAATGCATCACCAATCAATCGAATAGTCTCGTCAAGTCTCTGTGGCTATGGCAATAGACGTACTGCGTATGGGTGGCTCTGACGAAGCCGATGCCATCGACTGCACCAGAGTCTCAAACCGATTACATCCGATCTCACTACGGATAGGTTAACTTACTGATGCTTGGTTCGCGGTTCCCAATCCTGTCATCTGTGGCATGAGATACCTTGCTGTTGTGCTAGGGCTGTACCTTAGCGTTTGGTTGCTCCAGCGGTATAGCACCACGCGCTATTGATCCGAATACCTCGACACTCGGTGCTAGAATCTCTCCGCGTCCGCAATTCGGAAAGAAGGGTGGGTCCGGTAGCATGGGGCGACTGGCGACAGCGACGATCGATCCCCAGGGTCCGATGCCGACTATTAGGGGCCCCTAGCAAGATGGCGATGAGAATTGACACGCTGCCACGCTTCGATACACTGATCGGAATATTCTAGCACCATTATTACCTACGAACTTCCAGGGGGCGGGTGCCCTCTTCAGAAACAACAGATTCGCGAGCGAGTAAGGAGCCAAGCCGTGCCGACAGTGCCAATTCATTCTTTGTTCATTAGTTGACAGTCCGGGAGGTCATCCTGCCTTGCAAGCGAATGCCGATGCAGGACGAAACCACTTGCGATAAGGTCTTCTGCAAGAATTGCAGACTGTGCGATGGTTGAAACAGTATACCTTCTGACACATTCAACCAAGCCGGTGGGGGGATTATCGTCCTAATCTCCCAGATCAATATCGGTTCACCTCGCGCTTCGCAGGTTTCGCAAGACCGACCCTTTACGGAAGATGTGCCACCAGGGTCACGCCAACAGACGGGATGGCTGCCCCCAGCCTACGCTCTGGGAACGTGGCATTTGCAGGTGCCTTGTTCGCAGGCGGTAATTGTGGCACAAAGCTGCGTTAAATCCGACCAGCCATGGCCCGCTCAGTCTAACTCGAGGAAGCCGTGATGCGCACGCAGATTCTTCGAGAGGGCCTAGACTCTCGTCGGCGGCAGCCAAAAGTTTGCCAATTACCTCCAGGCACAACATCAGCTTACCTTTCGACAAGTTCTCCGACTCTTGCTTCAGAAGCTCAAGAGTGACAACACTCATTTACGAGCCAAGGGTTAGAAGAAACCTACTTTCGCACATTCTCAACCTTGGATCATGTCGCCTTCTGCTCGAATGGTCTCAGTGGGCATCACATGCTGGATACAGCTTTGGGCACTCAAGTATTTACAGCATACGCCTAGCAGAGTTGCACAACAAGCAAGGGCCAACTGAAAAGACCAACTGGACACTGGCCATGATCAGAGCGATAACACTCCAGTTGACAAGAGCCGCGAGCGGAATGTTCTTACCCCGCCGCCGCCGTGGCCAACGCGAGGGATGGTGGTGGTTGCTTCTCCAAGAATTCGTCGTCACGGTTGTATGGCTGTGCACTGCCCCTCGCGTACCGAATTGTTGGTTGCAACCTCAGCGGATGGCTTTCAGCTGGTTCGCTAGGTCAGACAAGCCTAACGACGATGTTGATCAGGTCGAGTAGGTATCAGTCTCGAGGATGTACACGCTACCACGGCTACCAAGTACTAATTGTTCAATCTTGCGGGTGTCACCTAAGCCCAGGAGAATCCATTTTTGCCTAGTCCTCTGGAATTTCTCCCCGCCAGACTGAAGTCGACTTGGTGAGTTGCTCCTAGAGATCTAAAAAAATTTGACGTCACCTCAAGATGGATCAGCTGCTTCAAACATTCAGTGGATGATACTGGGCTGAGAATAGTAGTTACGTTCCGTTTTTGGTGAATTCTGCTCGCCCGCGGGTTAGCTCTGGCTTAAGCGCTACGTTAGACGACAAAGTTGGACTTGCCATTATTAAAACGACTGGCGTTGCTCGACGTTGAGACGGAGCAATCTGTCCGCGCGCCACTAGCTCACCCATCTTCTTTGGTGTGTGAAACCGATACTTGGAGTTACAACAGAACCATGGCAGACCCCTCGAGCGGGACGAACCTCTCTGAGACCAATCAGCAGGCCACGGTCCACGGCCCAGTCCCGGCAACTCTATGCTCCTTATTCTACATTCACGCCATAGAGTGGTGGTCTACAACCCATGGGGGCGGATATCTCGAGCACATTTCGACACCGGGTTTCTGGACCCCCAGGGCAAGCCTACCTATCTGCCGTACGGATGCTTACGCCTATCCGTGCTTTGATCAAGTTCGATAATCACATAATCAAAGGGACTGCGAAGAACCACGGCATACAGACACAGGGGCACCAACGCCGGGCAGTCTACTCTGATCGACCTTCTGCCACAGCGGGGCAGCGGGTAGTATGTCGACCCGCCTGCCTACTTCCCGTATGGGAATCAACCATGAGAAATGACATATCTTTGTCGTCAGCCATCGAGGTTCAGCCGACACTGTCCACTCATCTCTCATGGTTCTGCTGGCTGCACGTTGCTTACTAGCTGTGGAACCATGCTAACCAACGAACTTCCCATGTCGACAGTGCCGTTGCTGCATCTCGGAACCCCAGAAAGTCCATTCGGCCGGTGAAGCAGATGCTATGTACAACCTGCCGAGCCTGCGAACAAGCCTTTGAACCACACCCTTCCCCGTTTCCCCAATTGCCTGTTTCCTGTGGTTTGTGGCGAAACAACGACAGACACTCGACTCCGTCCCATCTGGCTACCACAGACGCACACGCCCAGTGAGCTGTCGCCCCTTTTCAAACTTGCGATACGCAAGAGGGCGATCGAGGTTTTCGGGCACATCCATACCCCGCAAATTGCCATGGTTTGGAGCATGGGATTTTGCTTCCCCCGTTTACTATGTTGCGACCCTCGGCTCCTCGTCATTGCAAGGAGCACCACCGCTCACTTTGCTCGCCGCACGTCACAGGAGCATAAAATTTACGGCATTTCCATGAGGAGTATTCTCGGCCATCTCGGCGATCTCGGCGAAGTGTGCGCAAAATATATGGCTCGATGCAGCGGTGCAGGTGTTCCATCCAAATTTGCAGAAGAGCTTCTTAATGGAGCCAAAAGTCGACGTTGAAGATGGAAAATCATGTCGACGTTCGTTTCTAGATAAGCGAGAGATCGCGCGCTGACATCTCATGTTCGGAGCCGTGACGGCCAATCGACCTTTTCGCCTCCTACCCCGGATCCTGATCTCATCAATTTGATTCCAAATGCCCCTTGCTCCTTCTTGTGAGTCCGCATAAATCAGAAACGGCCACCAGCGACGTTGGAGACGCCCCGCCTATAGTCTCTGCTGGGCAAGGCTAGGAGGCCAAAGCCAGGCGATCAGGCGATCGTTGATAGACGTCGGCAGATGGCACTGGTCAAAGACGCACGCCGAGGGGTGACTGGAATATTCTTAAACAGCGGGGAGGAGCGCCACGTTCCTGAACCCTGACGTAAAGTCTCACGGGTCGCCTGGAGGCTGGATGCGCAAGGAGCGGGCACCAAGGACGCCCACGGAGACGGTTCACTGGGAAAGTGGGAATGCAGTTGCTGGTGCCCTATTACAGCTACGTTGGATTGGCATTGCAATCTCTATGGAAGAATGCGATGTGCAGCGCCGACGAGAGAACCCTGGAAACTGGCATACCGGATACAACTCAAGATTTTGATCAATTCGTTCAGAGATGGCACTCTTTCAGCCAGAGAGCATTTAAGCTGCGTTAGCGGCAATAATCTATTTCTGCATCAGCATAACACCGGTCACAGCCAGTGTTCCGACGATGCACGACATCCATCGCATCTCGATCCCCCACCACGTGGTTTTGCAACTCGACAAAGACACTATCGCGAAGACAACAGCTCAAACGTACCTACTCGCTCTGGTGCTCTAGAGAGCGTCCGGGCCCGCGGACATAAGCTGCAATGGAAGATTGATCGTGATGTCTGGACGCGCTACCACACCAGAGCTTCCTCACTTGGCTGGCTTCGGGAGGCTTGTGGTACTATTCAACGCACCTAGTGAGAGGGGGACCTTAACCGACAGGCTGGCTCAGCCGCTAGTGCTCGAAGAGAATAAGGAAGCCTACACAACTGCTCAGAAATCTCGATGGTGGCTCAGACAGTCGATGGCCGCCTGCCCAAAATCCGTTCCAGCTTGTCTCTTTGGCACGCCGGTTTTTCCAAAAGCACGTCGGGCTGGGATAAGTCAAAAGGGCCATCCACCGGGATAGGAAACCAGCGTTCCAGACGCTCGCTCAATTACCCACCAGCCACTACCTGAGCCCCTGTCGTTAGGGAGACACTGTGTACTCAAACTAGAGACATCGTGCCATTTCAACAATCCGGCCAGAGTAGTCCGTATTGCTCGTCCACCATCTGTCAATACTTGCTGCCATGTGAGATGCCCGGCTTGGGGGAACACTGGGAGGAGGTTCTGCTTATGCTGTGCTACGTGCGCAAGCAGCCCGAGGAGCCGGGTGGGATAATTTACTAGCAGTCCTGCAGACTCATCGGGCCGCCGGGACGAATTGGTGTGGTGGCTGGACTTTCGTTCGGCCCTGGTTCTGATATCCCACCTTGCGGCCGGATAGCCTGTGGAAGCCAAGATGCTTCCAGGACTCTGCTGATACCGGCCAAGCCTTAGTGGAACGCATGGTGTCTCTTTCGCCCGCTTTCAAACATCCCAGCGGTGTTACGGTAAGGTTGACTCTTCGGAGGCTTCAATCAACATTGATAGCATCCGCAAGGACTGCGGATTTCAAATTCTCGGCCCCATTTCTCATTCAAACTGTTCTAAGTCAGTCCTAGTTCTTCATCGTTTGTCCTGTCGCTTTACCGATTCCGCAGATTTCCTGACCATGATGAGGTGAGCGCACGGCCTAAGTGAGCCCTGAGCCGTTCCGCCCCGATTTCCAGAGAAATCCACGAGAATCGGGCGGCAGTGCCCAAATGGTCTCTCTGGATCCCTGTTTCCGATTCACACGACATGTTCGCAGATCGGACGGCGGGCCCCGGATTTCGCGATCCCCTCAAGTTCTGCAGGGCAGTCCGCATCGTGGCATGGTCAAAAACAGGGCTCCCCGGCCCCTCGAACTGGTTCCTTTGTTGGAGCGATCGAAGCAGCCAACGTGCCATCGGAACATTCACAGCCCCGATTCCAACGTTCTGGGACGTGGGCCAGCTACTTTCTTCTGGATCGGGAGCAACGATTCTTTAATCTAGCCAGCCGAACACCCCCCCGTCAGCCCTGCACCTACCAGACGAACGATTGACCGTCTATCAGAGTTCACGATCTCATGAGAAATTATCACCAACGGTCTGCATCGTGTTTTCTCGGCGGTGCCATTTCGATCCGCTGCCGCTAACTATCACCGCTTGGGGTTTCCACCAACGATGGGTCAACCTGCAGCGGGAGTTCCTGTCTCCATCGCAAAGGCTCGGGAGGGTAAGGGTATTGGGTCATGCCGCGATTCAGGACCCCGATTGTGTTGAAGTCCTCGATGCGACAGTACTCTGGATCGCGCCTACTGCGCTGCGACACTTTTCCTTACCAACACTAACACTCCAAGTGGAGATGATATCTGCCCAAATCATGTGCTTTCAACGCCCTCGACAGGATTTTATCTTAGGCTCGACTACTGACGCCATACACTTCATAGTTGAAGTCGAATTCTGGTGCAAGCGCAAACAAGAAGCAGAACGTCCTTGTGTAAGCGCTCGGATGTAGCAGCGGTCACTGGGTGATCGGCCCCATGCTGGCCGCGATGCCCTCGTTGTTGCGCGATGCTTCACTTTGCTTGGGAAGACTTTGATCGCCATTGGAACGCAGCAAGGACTGTTTTCGAATCCAAGCGCGACGAGGAGATGACGAAACTGAGCCATGACGGGCAATGTGCGCGATAAACTCCGTTCAATTGACAGCCAGCACTGACATGTCGTCAGTGCCATGCGTGCCTCGGCCAAGACTGGTAGGAGACATTGCGGTTCTCGGGTGTTTTGGTACGTTCCGCCGAAATGGAGGCTCTCGTCAACGTTTGAGCTGCGCATAGATTCCCAAGGAAAGCTTTCCGGACCATTCTACATTTACTGGAAATGGGACACTGTTCGGTCCGCCAATGAACCAATCCTCTCTGAAAGCTCAGAAATGGTTCGCTCGATTGAAATCAGCATGTTGATCTGTCGGGGAAGAGGCTGGTCGCATAAACATTCTTCTCGCAACTGGCGCCCGGCAATATCATTCAAACCTCTACTCCGATATGGCACCGTTGATGGCTGATAAATTCAAGTCAAGTGGACTGGCCTGTCGGCTTGCGTTTTCTATGTTGCTATTGTCTCGAGACTGGGATATGTGGAAGGATTGTGACTGCTGAGTAGGGATCGGATTCCTTTATCATGACTGAGTCGAGCCAATCTAAATCTTTCCAAAAAAAAGCGAGTTAAAAGCGAAGAGGCGGTCGCCCGTCGCGTCGGCTGTGATTATCAAGCTTCAATGGATAAATTTGGGCGGGATGCTGCCAGAGTCGAACAGATGATAGCGAACATATGAACTTTTGATGGGCTTCGGACAATTTTGAGGCATGGAGACCACGCTGAGGCGGCTTCTGCTGGCGTCTAGGGGACGGTCCATTCGACCGAAATGCAAAGCTCCGTGGAATTCTCACGATGTCGCGATCTAATGTTTTTTCACGTGAGAGAAGATATGGCTGCATCAAGACAACAGGACGGAAAGTGAAGGACGCTCGAGAACCCCTCCTTTCGGGAATACGGGCAGGCACCCGTCGAGTTTCACGACGTCGGATATCCCGTCTGGCGGTTAAAAAGGGCACACATCTCGGGACAGCAACTTCTCAATCATCTTTCCAGTCACGATCCAGAAGCATACTATTCCAGAAATTCTCACGTTCGACGTGGGTGCCTTTGCATTTTCTTCCACATCTTGCCATAGACAGCGCAACAACGCAAAAGACAAAACTCCCGCAGCCATGACCCTGCGATTCGACCCAGAGTACCAAGCCGCCATCGCCGCCAGAGACAGCGGCGGCGGAGGTCCCGCCCCGCCGGCTGCACCGTTCAAGGACGCCCTTGAACTCCGCGCCTTCTCTGAGCCCTTGCTCCGCACCGTCCTCCGCGCGCAGCCGGCGCCGGACAACGTCCTCGAGACGCGTATCCCGTTCACCTCGCACGACGGACAGGAGGTCGGGCTCTACCGCTTCGCGACGCGGGAGATGATTGACAGCGCCGAGCCCCTGGCCGCCGTGGTATACGTCCACGGCGGCGGGATGGTCTCGTGCGATGTCGACATCTTCAGCCCGCAGATTAAGCGGTTCGTCGAGATGGTGGGGATGCCGTTCTTCGCGGTGGATTACAGGCTCGCGCCAGAGTTTCCTGACGGGCTGGGCGCCGAAGACGTGTATTACGGGTTAAAGCACCTCTCGGAGAACGCTGCGCGCTGGGACGTGGATAGCGGCAACATCGTCATCATGGGCGACTCAGCGGGCGGCGGGCTCGCGGCGGGCGCGACGTTGATGGCGCGTGATAGGGGTCTGACGCCGCCGCTGCGGAAGCAGGTTCTCGTGTACCCGATGCTCGACGACCGGACCACGGTGCCGGAGAATGCGGCGATGTACCCCTTTCTGGCGTGGAAGGCGCACGACAGCGTGCTCGCGTGGCGGGCGGTGTTGGGGGATAAGGCTGGGGACCCGAGGCCTCACGCGGAGGCGGGTATCTCGTTGTATGCTGCGCCGGGTAGGGCTTCGGTGGAGGAGTTGAGGGGACTGCCGAGGACGTATATTGATGTGGGCGGGTTGGATTTGTTCCGGGACGAGTGTGTTGACTTCGTGAGGAGGCTTTGTGAGGCTGAGGTGGAGGTTGAGTTTCACTTGTGGCCTGGGTTGCCGCATGGGTTTGAGAGTGCGCCGGGGATTGGGTGGGTGAAGAGGGCTTTGGAGGCGAGGAATGAGGCTTTGAGAAGGGGTTGATCGTGGTTTGATTTAGAGGGTTGGGAGCACGATCAGTAATGTCACAATCAGTGTAACAGAAGAAAACGCCGGCGTCAGCTGCCTTGTGTATCGTATCGTATCGTATCGTATCAGGAAGACTAAAAGGTGCTAGACATACTCAAATGCTCCTTTATGTTTTCTCCATTGTTGGTTTTCTTCCTCTGATAGCCTCCATGGTCTTTGGACATGATATGCATTGACTCCCTCTACATCTCTGTTAGTTCATTACGGCAGCGATTTCGATCAACATCTTGAAGCGCAAGGGACAGAAGTTGGGAGCTGGTAGATCTTGCTTCATTGAAGCCCAGGTAGTAGGATGGAGGACAAGAAGTGTCTTGGGATAAGTGCAATGCGCTCACCCACAAGATATGTGAGTTCTTCCCCTTGTACATCAAAACAATTCCATGCAAAGGCATCTTAGCAGAAATGGAAAATAGAAAAAGAAAAAGAATTCACCTCGGTAGGCTACATCTCTGAATGCTCATGCTGGGAATCGAACTCGAACTCGGAGCCTGTCGTCGAGTAGGCTATTGGGCGTGATATAGTTAAATGCTGACCCAAGACCACTCCACCACCCAGTCAGTCTGACCTGACCCGCCGACCTAGACGGGCGCCTGCTGTGCTGGTGACAGGAAAAGAGTTGAAAGTGTATACATTGGCTTTCCTCCTGTGTGTATTGTGGGAGTTGGGATGAATACACCTCTCACGTGGCTGTTGTTCCCCGAAGGTGGTGATTGGCTTGATATGTATGCTCTGGTATCGGCACAATCCGATCTTGAAGGAACGTGACTTTCACTGCTCAAAAGGATGTTCTCATCATTCATGGCCTTGAACCGACAGAGCCTGCAGTCGATTAAGGCGTAGGCCTTCGGCAAACGGCCTGGAGAACGAGATCATGGAGTTTGGGGTTAGGAAACGAATATTATTTCTATTGAAGCATGCTCATGAAACTGTAGAGCCTGCGCGCATCTTGCTACTTGGTTGCAACTCGGCCATACAGCACGAACTTGCAGTAAGGTGTCTTCAGTGAGCCACGTTGTCATCCCTGCCTACATCTGTAAGCCAGCCCTCTGAAATTCAGAGATGAGGTATGTATCTGCAATCAGAGGTGCAACTCATGTAGGAGCAGTATCTACTATTATGACAACTGTTTGTACGTATCTGGAATATATTTTTCAGAAATGATATCGGCACTGTGAAAGAACGAGATAGGGTGACTGCACATCGTCTCTTGTCGAATACTCAAGGTAGACTTGACGAGCAAGTATTTTGAGACTCCCCAAAGATCCTTCCGCATTTGTTGTTATAACTTCTGTGGGTATTTCACCGAGAAGAGAGCGATGTATGGGTTCATTGGTGGTTTAACATGTTCCCAATGTCACCATGGATCTCGGGAGCTTTTACTCTTGGGAAGGTTACCAACTGAACGTGTTCAGAGCACTTTGTGTAAATATACATGCCCTTGCCCATAGTTCGGAAGTTCAGATTCCTTTCAACTTTTTACTGGATCTAATCCACCTCTTTACATAGGACGAATACCTTCATGCACCAGCGCCGGGTTGATCGGCCTATTTGTACCAGGAGTCGGATGCGTGTGTGTAAGCGGACGGGACTACTCAACCCCGCGACTCAACTTTCGCTACACCGTAATGAACCAACTAACCAAATATTTAGTCAACAGCCCCCAACACTATGTCTATGCTTTATGCTTACATGGCCTTTGATTGATGCCAAGAGAGGAGTCTCAACAGAAGTAGCCATCAACTCGCCTTTAAATTATGGCGGTCTCAAGTCAGTTGACGTGATTTATTGAGAGTCTCGCACCAAACATCAGCCGAACAACTGCTGGTTCGTCCCAACTCGGAGCCAATTTCAGTCAAGGATCGGCAGTTCCCCGCAGTTCCCTTAGGCGGACCATTGACATTTCTCCAAGACGGCCTTCCAAGAGGGAAGGTGCCTGGTCTGCCGGGGACCGATGCAACGGGCCAAGCCGCTAGGGTGCACGTGTGGTAGCCACTCGGAGACTCGGGCACAAGGGCCTAAGAGGAATAAACTCATGAACCCTAGCCTCGCTAGTAAAGAAGCATACTTTTGTGCTCAACTCCAAACGCTAGACGGAGGTTCTTTAATGTTCTTGACCGATGGAATCCTCCGAAAGGGGGCAGACAGATCCGGTGTTTGCAAGAGAGCGGCGAGGACCCCCTTGTCATTCGGTCCATTCCAACCGGGGATGATGCATAGTCTCAAGTAAAGTTGAGCTGACAAGCCCAAGACTTTTCAATGTCGTATTGGCACAACTACGCAGTAGATTGACTAACCCTTTAGTTCGTCTTGCAGGTATCCCGACTGGCGGAACAATAGCTTTTGCTTCTCTTGGGCGTCTTGGCAAGTATAAAAGATACGAACTTGGGAGTCTCGGCCGAGCGGAGTGGAACCTCGACGTCCACTGCCTCTGAAGCTCATTACCGGGCAAGGAGATGGTATTGTTGAGAGACAAGAGACTTTGGATCTAGGTTCCCATAAGTAGAGCGTGGTTTGTCCTGGTTCATTATGGACATGGTCTTTGATACCTCAGCCTCTCTGCCTTTGCTCTGCCGTCTTGCTTTTGCTTCTTAGGATACCTCTTAGTACACCATACCATCAACATCATGAAGTTCACTTCTATTCTCGCCTCCTTGGCGCTGAGCGCCCTCACCTCCGCCGCACCCGCCGCCTCTTCCGAGCCTGCCCAGCTCGCGGCCCGCGCCCCTACACTCTACCTCTGCGGTGACAGCACCATGGCCAGGAGCAGCGACTCCCAGATGGACGGCTGGGGTCAGTACGTCTCAAAATACCTCAACATCGCCGTCGTCAACCGCGCCATCGGCGGCCGCTCATCCCGCTCTTTCTGGAACGAAGGCCGCTTCCAAAATGTCGCCAACGAGGTCAAGGCCGGCGACATCGTCGTCATCGAGTTCGGCCACAACGACGTTGGCTCCCCGCGCTCCAACGACAACGGCCGCTCCGTCTGCCCGGGCGAGGGCACCGAGACGTGCGTCTCGGACACGACGGGCGAGACCGTCTACACATACATCTTTTACGTCATCCAGGCCGCCAAGCTCATGACCGCCAAGGGCGCCACCGTCATCCTCAGCTCGCAGACCCCTAAGAACCAGTGGGCCACGGGCACCTGGGTTGGCACCCCGTCCCGCTTCGTCGCCATGCAGAAGAAGGCCGCCGCGACCATCAACGACGCGGCCGTCACCTTTGTCGACCACCACCAGGCCGTCAGCAACATGTACCTCAAGCTTGGATCGTCGGCCGTCAAGGCCCTGTACATCAAGGACAACACGCACACCAGCGCCGCGGGTGCCGACCTCAGCTCCCAGGCTTTCGTCCAGGCCATCTACCAAAAGATGAACGGCACGACCAGCCTTGCCGCCCACGTCAAGACGCCCATCAAGACCGTCTACTAGTTGGAATTTCGAGTCTCATATGCGAGGATAAGGGAAGGTTCCGGTGGCGGAACCTGGGATGCGGGGAGGTTGATGTCGTCTTCTTGTCGAGGAGCTTGGCCTCTGATGACTTGATTGCTCGACTTTCACTGTACATATTTCAAACAAAACTAGCCAAGGCTCTGTACATAGACGAAACGACACGTAAATAGTCAACAAGCCTTCATATCTTTCAATTCTTTTGTAAAATGCCATGTCCGCTCGGTACTTTCGGGTTGTTGAAAGGCCTCGAACTCTTGCTTTCTTGCCCACAGGCTGTAACTCTTGCGGCTGATTGCCTAGGTCGATTTCAAAGTGAGACCTTCAACGTAACTGTATTCTATACCCTATATGTCGCTATTGTGATTGGATCATGAATGGAAGGAGCAAGCGGTCTTGACCGTGCCTTCCACACGTGACCACGAGACGGGATGGCTAAGGAATAAAGACCCCCTCAACCCCATTCCTGTCACCAGCACATCAGGCGCCGTCTAGGTCGGGGGTGAGGTCAAACTGTGGCGTGGGTGGTGGAATGGTTCATGGTCAGCAATCAAGTACGCCCACAGCCTACTCGACGACAGGCTCAGCTCATACGAGAGTACCCGAGTTCGAATCCCAGCATGTGCACCAGAGATGTAGTCCCCCAATTCAGCATCGGGGGGGCGAACTCTTTTGATTTTCTTCAAGACCTGATTATATATGTATTCAAGGCATGCCTATAAGTATTGCTCGAACGTGCAATCTTCATTATAGTCAATGGCGATACCAAACTTCGACTACGTCTTGGCGACGCATGTAACAACCTCTATCTCTAGGTATATCTTATTATATTTCTGTCCACGACTTCTTGAGTAATCTCAGTGGCGTAGAGTCTGTTCCACCAACATCGAACCGTACGTTCATTTCCCGGAGGGATGCTTGACCGGTCCAGGCTTATGACTCCATGACCATCAGCTCTCTTTCTCGTCTTCTTCTCCGACTGCCTCCCAAAGCATCATGTACAGAAGCTCTATGACTGGTTCCTGGATGTTTTGTCGCGAAGATGCCCTCGAGGCCGAGGCAGGTATGAAGTGAGCTACGGATGTTCCGATCACCCGTAGACACTAAGGTATCTATCTTGGCAAGGGTTGAGATCACCACGTCAAGGCCAAAAGCTGTTCCGCTCATTCAAAAGTTGCCCAATGTGATGAATTGGGACAACCTATAGTGGCTGTAATGATCGCGGTACCTAACTGGGACCGCTCGCAAATTTGATCCCATGATCAATCTTGGTACCCCCTGTGCTTCGCCTCGCGAAACGGGGCAAACCTGACGTACAAGAACACACGATACATGATCATCGTCGACAGCATCCATACCGCCGTGAAGACTAACCACCAGAAGATGTCGTGTGCATCGAGCCAAATCACCTGGTTGCGAAAAGACCAGGAAAAATCGTAGTTCTCATAGTAGTCCCAGATATCCTCAGGGATAACGTCCCAGTGTGCAGCGTAGGAGAATGATCCCATGACGATGGCAACCGCCGTAATGAATCCCATCACCGTGCTGAGGCAGATAAGAGTCATGATCGAAACGGCTTTGCGGGGAGTGTTCGTTTGCGACTCGTGAAAGATCAAATTCCAGGCACGACTGTCCATGAGAGGCCGCCGGGCGCCGTTTCCGCCGAAGGGATAAGACTCCGCTGTTGGGAAATTGGCGGAAGCGTAGCTTGCCATTGTCTTGTGTTGTGCGTGTTGCAAGTATTTTAGCTTTGATGATGTTCCAATTTTCGGATTGGGCCGTGGTGATGAAGTGTGAGTGAGTAAGTCATCGAGAATGCGATGACACATAAAGAGGAAATTAAGTGAATTAATCGACGTATCTCCGGAAGATGTATCACCAGGGCTAGATCAAAGTGGCTACGAACCAACCTTTATGGTCTGACCCTCCGCAAACTGCGCTGTTCTCTTTTTAAGGTTGCGGGAAGCCTCGAACCTTCATCGAGCGTTGCCAGCGCCTTGCAAAACTCAAATGACTTCTACCTGGGATTAGAGAGAACTTATGGTAGCATAGTTATCAGTAGAACACATGTCCATTTTCTAATGACTAAAGACTTCCAATATCCACAGGCTCGTTGGCGAAAAGTCATTAGCAGAAGCCGACTCCCTGCTTTCAAGAAACACGGTCTTGCCGCTAGAGACCTTTCTGCTTTATTATCACGCCTATCACGGAAACTAAATTCCTTGTATGTTCTGAAGAGAATCCAACATTTTTCAGATCTATCAAGGGGCATGAAGATTAGCTCATGGAATTCTTGTTATTGTTCCATTGTCTGGTGCCATACACACCTCTATTTATCTGAGTAGCCAGGGCGGTGTTTCTTATGCCACCGATTCAGTCCTTAGGTTGTTCAAGATTGAAAGTCAAAGCTATTAAGCGTGTATTTGTAAGCGCCGAGTACTTGAAGAGATGAGGTTTAAGTCGGTGGAGACCACGCCATCCGGCTTTAGTCTTCCCGATGTCGCTCAGCTCCACATAGGCGCCGGACAATTACCCGCCTCACCGTTTTTGTGTATCAACTTCCCGGCACAACATCTCGGTTGGGAGGTTTTGTGTCAACGCTAGCTTTGATTGGTTGGAAAACTTCACTCTGTAGATGTCGAGTTCGTCTTGAGAACAACTTGGCTACAGAAATCTTGCGCCCTTACTTGACATTCGTTCTATTAGCCTAGTTCAAAGGCCGTCTAGAGGTCGTCTGAAGCGGGTACAAGACTTTTTTACAACATCTTTTCCCAGCGCCATCAGGATGCAACTCGCCGAGCGCCAGGAAGCCGACTCGCTTGAGCGTGCGCAACCTACGGAAAGTAAGTTTTTGACTTGCCGTTGATACTCTCGTAGCGAGAAGGTACAATATGCTGATCTTAGAACCTTGACAGCTCTGGACGTAGCACAAGAGTCCCACAAGTACCCTGAGGGCGGCAAAGATGCATGGCTTGTTGTGGCTGGTGCATGGTGCGCCATGATACCATCCATGGGTCTTCTCAATACTCTTGCAGTTCTGCAGGCCTGGGTTTCACAGAATGAACTTCATGGGCTCCCGGAGTCGACAATAGGCTGGGTGTTTAGCACTTACGCCTTCTTCCTCTACTTTTGCGGCGCTCAAGTTGGTATGAGACACATCTCAATCAAAGTAATGACTCAAGCTGATAAATCTACAAGGCCCCATCTTTGACGCTCATGATGTGAGGTTCCTGGTGATACCCGGATGCGTAGGATCTGTGGCGTCTATGATGCTGATGAGTCTCTGCAAAGGTAAGGGCCATCATTTTCCCTCCTAAATGGCCAAAGTCTCAAACATTGCTAAACCTTAAACATGTGCCAGAGTTCTACCAGTTTTTGCTCACCTTTGGTGTCCTCGGCGGCGTATCAGCTTCGCTTCTTTTCAACCCGAGCATCGCTGCAGTCGGGCACTGGTTCTCGGAACGTCGTGCTCTAGCTACAGGAATAGCCTGCACGGCTGGAGGCGTCGGCGGCGTTGTCTTTCCTCTCATCATTCTCTACATGGCTCCCAGGGTTGGTTTTCCATGGGCCATCAGGACGGTTGGGTTTATCTGTGCTGCCGCGTCTGTTTTGGCATGCACGCTCTTGAAGAAGAGGCTTCCACCAAGCAAGACATCCAGTGGCGCAATCGACCTCAAGGCGCTGAAAGAGACAAAATTCGGTCTCGCAACATTGGCCGTCTTCCTGATCGAGTTCGCAGTCTTCATCCCGTACACTTACATTTGCTTGTACGCTATCCATGAGGGCATCGATCTCCAGAAGTCTCTCCTCCTAAGTGCACTGCTCAACGCTGGAGCGATTCCAGGCCGTGCCCTACCGGGCTACGTCGCAGACCGATTTGGTCCCTTCAATGTCATGTGCGTCACTGCCTTGGTGTGCTCGGCATTCATCTTCGCGCTCTGGTTGACAGCGCATGGCGGAGAAGCTGCCACGACTGCCTTTGCGGTCATGTTTGGATTCTGGTCCGGAGCTGCCATCAGCTTGACGCCAGTCTGCATTGGACAGGTGTGCAAAATCGAAGACTATGGGAAAAGGAGTGGCACGGCGTTCTTTGTCTGCAGTTTTGGTGCCCTTGTCGGTGTGCCCTTCGCTGGAGCTATTCTGCAATGGTCAGGTGGCACTTATGACGGCCTTATACTCTTTGCGGGTGGTCTATACATCTTGTCGTTCTGCGCTTTTGCCGTTGCAAGAGGCGTAGCTTGTGGTTGGAATCCCAAGACCTTGTTCTAGACTTGAGTGAGACTCAGTCCAATATCTGGGGCCTTATTTCGTCAACGGAGACGAGACTTGTGGTCACTACGTATTAGATATTTTGATCATATTTGCATCAGCGAGAACAAGAGCCTCGTAACAAGCTTCGCTTAGTGATGATAGAGAATGAGAAGGGATGAGTCCGTATGTTCTGGGCTTTTGAACGGGGTTTTCCTCCAAGACAGCGATGAAATATTTCTTGCTTCAGGACTTGCTGTGCCCAAAATAGACTTAGAGAAACCAAGGAGCTGGAGTTTGTGATTTCTGATGCCGTCAAGTATCAGATTCCACGCATGAGTATACGAGCGATTCAGCAATGAATTGAGTCCACATTGATGTGCGTGAAGATGAGCTGTTTGCTGTCAACTTGAATTCCTCGAAGGCAAGACCGGGTACCACAGGGGAATAGGAGACTGGCAATTTAAATACAAGTGAAGCACTGGCGCACCATGGAGAGCTGTGGGACTATAACAGAGGTTTACAACTTGAATCTGATCGTTGTGTTGTTCTTGATCAGATTATTTGTCTCTGGCCTGCTATCCCACCGGCGCAATTTTGCGAGATCAACGCAACATGACTCAAGTTGAAGATTATTATCGTGCAAATGAAGTCTTTTCATAACGAAGAAACCGTAATGAGCCGTCTCGTCAAATATTAGGGGCTGAGTCCTTCGAAAAAGGCTATTGATGGCGACACTAACATGCTCGAGTCGTGACCTTGAAGCGCTGTTTCGGAAAAAGCGACGTCGGCAACCGAACCGAGCTGACCAAGCAAATTCCATTTACACCAAACGCCTATTAAGAACTTTAAGACCATAGCTTACCTTAAAATACACCACCTGACAGCGGCCGCCTCCACATCTTCCGATAAACTGGGCAATGCTCGCCTTACAACTACCTAGGCTAAGGCCCCCACAACTCACCTTAGAGAGATGCGGCAGTTGACATAGTTTGACGCTCATATTACTTGCGCGCGGCTGTGTGGTCTTTCCCTGCCAATACCTGTCGCGCATTTGAAAGCAGGACTCCATTCCAAGGCCCAGGGCCGGCAGGCAGCCTCCGCAAGGGGTTGTCGCAGACTAATCGGCGAGTCTTTTGATCACTCAACCTCAATTATGAAAATTAAAAGGGTTTTGAAAGTCGGATTTCTTAAGTATAAGTTGCGGCTTCTCTACCCTCTGCCCAGAACCTTTCCATTATCCTCACCGCACTCTCTTACCTCACAAACCAGTCGCTTCTCTACGGTCTCTACATTTTACAGCAACATTGCCACTGCATCTCTGTACTTCTGATACCCAGAAATCGTGATCAATCAACTCGCATCTTTAACAACTCGTCAAAATGCACGCCCGCAACGTTCTCATTCTCGCCCTTGGCGCCGTCGCCTCCGCCCAGAAGTTCGTGGACTTCCCCACCAGCTTGACCTGCAAGACTGGCGCTGGCGGCAAAGAAACTGCCACCATTTCAAAGATCGAAGCCCAGGATGCCGTGAAGGGCCCCAACGGAACCAAACAGGACGACTCTGCCGCCAATGTTGCTTCTGGCAAGTGCGTCAGCCTCTCTGGCATACCCTTCTACGGAGTAAGTAACAGCATGGGATATCTTCCGCATATTTACCTCTGGAACTTTCATGTGCTAATCAGACTCTTCTCACAGGGCGGCGTTTCTGGCAAGGGAAGCATCTACTTCGCTTACGACAAGGCGAAGGATACATACTACTTCTGCTCGGCGCAAGGAGCTGTTGACGAGTCGGGATGGCCCTCTTCTTGCACGGAGAACTGAGCGTGCTAGTTCAAAAATAGAATAACAAGCGAGCATTTGTCATTTCACATCTATTGAGGCCAATTCTGCCTATATTCTGAGTGTGAAATGATAGTTATTTTGAAGTACCTTATGAGCACATTCTTTACTGATGCAAACTTTGCCTGGAATGTAAAGAACCATGTTGCTTAACGACTCGGAGTGAGCGGTGCAATTTGGGAGAACGAAAAATCTTCGTCAATAAAATGCGAGTGAAACTCATAGCCAGACCGGCCAACTTCAATGGCGCTAGGTGGGGTCAATTGACGTCGCCTCGAATCAGCGCCGGCCTCCGATGAGGTCCGAATTTTAAGAGGCCCGAGACGGCGACGATTCGGGAGCGGACCGTTGGTAATCGAGCTTCTCACTTATCAATCAGGGATTGAATGACTAAGGAGCGAAGCTTAGACGATGGAAGTTTCTTCACATCGCACCGTTCCTGAGGACGAGTACAAAAAGAGGTGTTTCCTCCTTGACTGATTTGTCTTCTGAAGTTCTGTTGCCGATTAGCGACAGACAAGAACCCAACAAACGCCTCTGGCCTGCATCTCAACTTACACCGAAGTTCTACGACAACTTTTTATTCAAACCTACCAAGACAATTCAGAACAACATGTCACGCGCGA